TGGCGGGGCGGCCGCTCGGCCTGAGGAGAGGCAACTCCGCCGCCCTGGGGGGACGGGCCACAGCGTCGTGACTGGCCCCGCCCGCAGCCCGTCTGTGTGGTGCGGGCAGAGGGGCAGCTAGAGCAGGAGCGCTGCACCCCCGAGTGCAGAACCGGACCTACTGGACCCTGGGGATGGGAGAGGCGCTCAGGTGAAGAGCCGCTGGGGAGCTGGAAGAGCCGGGTATCAAGCCTGCATCCCGCTGCCTTCTGCCTCCTCAGAATAAAGGGCTCTGCTGTACGCATCGATGAGACAGTTGCACTCCCATTCATCACTGTTTGCTTGAAATTTCCCTCTTCACATTGTGTCGGTAGAGTTTGTGACAGTCCCCAGGACGAGTGTACACGCCCCTGTGCAATTCCCTAAGAGCTACTCAGATAAGATTTGGGGTATATTTCATGTACTTGTTTACTGTGGTTGACTTACTGATCTGCTTTGGTGAACGTTTATGTTCATGTAAACGTAACATCTAAAAATAAAGTTTTAGTAAAAGGTGTTTTTTTAAAAAAAGCACTGATGAATGAATTCAGCATTTTGGAAAAAGGTGCTTAGCTGGATACCTTGTGTTTGATTTTTTTTTTCTTTTGCATCTTGTTAAGGGTTGATTGTGGCCTCCCTATGAGAGTAACTATATCTGTCTATAATGTGTCATGGTGCTACGGATAACCTGAAGATGCAGGAAGGGTTTGTCTTGATACTTAAATGAGAGATTTATATGCTTGCTTCAGAAATATGTAGTTAAAATCAACATGACTTGCACGGGTAATTAATGTGCCTTTTAATTAATTCCAGAAAGACACTTAAGTAATAGCTTTCCAATGATTTTTTTTTTAAAACTGACTGAATAATTATTGTAATATATAGTGCTTTTCATGTCCTTTCTATACCAGTGGGTCACCAGTTATTCTGAGTCTAGCTTGCCCCACCTCCAACAAAGATGAACAAAATGTCAGTGATATTACAAAAATCTATGTGGCCAATGTAACTCATATTTATTCATGATTCCATAACTATTGAATATGCTCAATTGCTTTACTATCACTTGAGTACATTATTAATAATCTAGTATGTAGAAGGGTCTCAAAATGCTTTTTTTGAAGGGGCATTTAATTCCATCCAGGCTATATAACTGCCTCAAACTGTTTCTCCTATTGTCCTATCAAATTTTCATGGAAAATTGGGGACAATATTGTCCTTATTATCCTATCAAATTTTCATGGAAAATTGCTTCCATGAGTATGATGTAACTAACTTCATTAAAACAATTTTTTCTACCATAATATGTAAATAAGATCAGCAGTAAGGGGATTTACTCATAATAACTTTTATTGGTACAGGAAAGTTGCATACATCACATTTGTTTGTGCCTTTGTAAGCCTGCATGGTTCATATTTCAAGAAGTGTGTTTGTCTTTTTCCAAATTTGCTTCTATTTTTTTCAACATGTGTAAAACTTGGTTATCTGCCAAAACAGTGGAACAATCTGCGCCTTTCACAACTTCTATAAGTAAAATACTGTAGTCACTGGAATCATTAGCAGTTCAATTCTAAATCTCCTCCCCACATTGGGGTGCAGTGGGTCCTGTCCTGACCATCTGCCTTCAGAGATTGCTCATTCACTGCCTTTAGTCATAGGCCTCACAGTAGATCTCTGGAATACAGGAGTAAGGTTTGGTAAGAGAAATAAGTCACTTCAGTCTGGAATAGCCATTCTGGTAACCACTGCTTGTTATGTCCTTTCTATTATTTCATAACTAAATGTATTATATGACATATTTCTGGAAGTGCTGGAAAAAAGAAAACAAAATAAATTAGAAAATATTGTGGTGGGGGGGAAATTAATAAACCCCTCATAAAATTTTAGAAAATGGCTAGACGCATTAACTGTAGTCTGAGCACCGATCTTAAAGAGTTTTCTGGTCACAGTACCAGTCTTGCAGCTATAGTTTGCTGTAAAGGGAAAAATTCACTTTGACCTTGTTGGCTTTCAATCTCTCTAGAGTTTGGTGTTCCACACAAAATATGTTTTCCTTACATAGCAGTGGGCAAGAACATACAGCACATTACTAAAAGAACCATTGCTACTGGTTACCATAATCTTATTAGAGTAATAAAAGGACTGAATGGGCATAATTTTCATCTAGCCTATGCTTTTTTTCCCCCTCTTCACTAAAAATTCTCATTAAAGCCACAGTGGTTCAGTTCTACTGCCAACTCTGCAAGAACTAACATACAACTGGATTTTAGGCAGTAGCTTTATTTTAAATGCTCATGTGCAATTCTTCGCAGAAGCTGCATACATTATGTCTGTCAATACCTTGTCTATGCTAACACTTCCACTCGCCAGTGTTTGTCTCTATAGAGCTGAATCAATGGTAGCAACAGAACTAAATTTTCTTATGGTAGACATAGCCATTGGCTATAAACTACGAGGTAGAGCTGAGGAATAGAATCCGAGCTGGAAGAGACCTTAGAAGGCCATCAAGTCCAGCCTCTTCCCAAGGCAGGACCAATCCCAATTAAATCAATCCAGCCAGGGCTTTGTCAAGCCGAGACTTAAACACCTCTAGGGATGGAGAGTCCACTACTTCCTTAGGTAACCCATTCCAGTGCTTCACCACCCTCCTAGTGAAATAGTTTTTCCTAATATCCAACCTGGACCTCTCCCACCGCAACTTGAGACTATTGTTCCTTGTTCTGCCATACATACTGACAGGGTACTTCAAATGTTTATGCTGTGCGTATTTGATACATATACAGAGACACCCCTTGGGTACAGTGAATCAGGACAACCGTTCTGGGCCCTGTGCTGTGGGGGACCCCATGGATCAGCGCCTCTAGACCTTCCAGTGTCTACTGTCTTGCGGATAGGCTGTTTTTCACCATAAGAAGGAGTGGGACAGGACTGAGGGAGCAGTGTGCTCTGGGGAGAGGGTGGACCTGTGCAGGAAGAGACTGGAGTAGGGATGGGAAGAAGCAGGGTTGGGTGGAATAGGGGACCTTGGTAGAGCTGGAGGTGAGTTCCCCCTCTCCTGGCAGATTAGAAACACAGTCTGACTTGTCCTTAGGGCAGGTGCAGGGCCCAAGACAGCCTTGCGTAGAGAGCACACGTTTCAATCCAGCACTAAATAAACATATTCATTCACACACAGACAAGAATTTTATTAATGATAACCTGTTTACTATCTACCCTAAGACACATGGAAACTCTAAAATAGATGACTGAGTGATTCAGATGAGAATTTAGTGGGGACATCGCTATATTTGAAGCTGGTTTCTTTCCATCCTCTATGAAATGTTTGCAACATAATGATAATCTATTTACTGTCTACTGTAAGAAATTTTAAAATTTAGCACTGTTGCTACCATTGGTTCAGCTCTATTGATACAAACACTGGAAAGTGAAAGTGTTAGCACAAACAAGGTATTGACAGGCATCAGCATATTGAACAGAGTAACATGAAAGTATTTGCATTCACTACAGTCAGCTATTTTAGAGTTTCTATGTCAGAGATGAGTAAAACAATTCTTGTGCGTTCATTGTTTTAAATAAATCCATTAGAAGTGTTTTTGTGATTCCTCTGGGTGAAAGGCGATATTTATATAAATGTATATCATCCTTTTTGATATAAAACACATATATGCACAAACACAATGGGTGAAAACCTGCCAGTCTTACTAAAGCAAAACTTTTTGAAGTAAGGGCCTAATCATAATCCTATAGAAATCAATTGACACTTTCTTGGGTGAGAACTGAATTAAAATATATATCTTTATTTCCTGAAGGAGCATATAGGAATCTTATGAAGTAAGGACTATATCATAGTCCCATAGAGGTCAATGGGAGTTTTGCCATTGACTTCAAATGGGATGAAGCTTTGCCTAAGTTCATCAGAGCTACATTTTAAAAATAATAAAAATGCAGTGATCTCTAGGATGAGATAAAAGTACAACCTAGATGGGAGGATGAGGTAAAAGTACAACCTAGATGGGAGGCTGAAATAAAGTACTGTGACTTTTCCAGGCTATCCTGTAATGGAAGAAAATGGAGTTGACCATGACATCAGCATGCAAACAGTCAATGATTTACTTGGTGTCAACTGTAATAATACAGGAAACTCTAAGACAGATGACAGAGTGATTCAGGTGAGGAATTAGTAGGGACATCACTATATTTGAAGCTGGTTTCTTTCCATCCTCTATTGTTTGCAATATAATGATAACCTGTTTACTGTTTTTCTTTCATTATTTTACAATGTCTTTACACAATATATACCTCTGTCTTTACATTGATTTCTAATACAGATTAGTTTGGAATGAATTAAGTCTGGGCATGATTCTTAACAGTTTGCATTCTGATAGCAAAACTAGAAAAATCACATAAAATACTTCATGTATTCAATGGATGTATTTGTATGGACTAAAAAAATATGTATTCCTTCACTGAAGGAAGTATCAATTGAAATGAATAGGAGCTTCAGGTGTTCAGCACTTTTGAAAATCAGGTGGCATATATTTGTCCTCATTTTTGTGTAGGAGTCTTTAGCTACTGAGGTATGAGAATTCTGGCAGTCATTACCTGTTTCCAATCTAGATGTCTTTAGTCAGTGATAATTCCAGACAACATGCATTCATGTTTCTTAGTTAATTCTATAGTTTAAGATGTGACCATGTATCCTGCACCATATATCTTAAAACAATAGTTTCATTCATTCATTGCCATTACTCTTAACATAAGAACATAAGAATGGCCATCCTGGGTCAGACAAAAGGTTCATCCAGCCCGATATCCTGTCTGCCAACAGTGGCCAATGCCAGGTGCCCTGGAGGGAGTGAAATGAACAGGTAATGATCAAGCGATCTCTCTCCTGCCATTCATCTCCACCCTATGACAAACTGAGGCTAGGGACACCATTCCTTACCCATCCTGGCTAATATCCATTTATGGACTTAACCTCCCTGAATTTATCTAGCTCTTTTTTAAACCTGGTTATAGTCCTAGCCTTCACAAGCGCCTCAGGCATGGAGTTCCACAGGCTGACTCTGTGCTGTGTGAAGAAAATATTCCTTTTGTTTGTTTTAAACCTGCTGCCCATTAATTACATTTGGTGGCCCCTAGTTCTTATAGGAACAAGTAAATAACTTTTCCTTAGTCACTTTCTCCATACCACTTACGATTTTATAGACCTCTATCATACCCCCCCTTAGTCTCCTTTTTTCCAAGCTGGAAAGTCCCAGCCTCTCCAATCTCTCTTCATATGGGATCTATTCCAAACCCCTAATCATTTTACTTACCCTTTTCTGAACTTTTTCTAATGCCAGTATATCTTTTTTGAGATAAGGAGACCACATCTAAATGCAGTAGTCAAGATATGGGTGTACCATGGATTTATATAAGGGCAATAAGATATTTTCCATCTTATTTTCTATCCCTTTTTTAATGATTCCTGTCATACTGTTTCCTTTCTTGACTGCTCCTGCATACTGCGTGGATGTCTTCAGAGAACTATCCACGGTGATGCCAAGATCTCTTTCCTGATTAGTTGTAGCTAAATTAGTCCCCATCATATTGTATGTATAGTTTGGGTTATTTTTTCCAATGTGCATTATTTTACATTTATCCACGTTAAATTTCATTTGCCATTTTGTTGCCCAATCACTGGCTGTATCTACATTGGTGCGATCTTGCGACTGCTTTAAATTTCATTTGCTGCCTGTCTACACTGGCCACGAGTTCTTGCACAAGTAAACTGATGTTCTAATGTATGAAATCAGTGCTTCTTGCGCAAGAACTCTGATGCTCCCACTCAGGAATAAGCCCTCTTGCGCAACTGTTCTTGCGCAAGAGGCCAGTGTAGTCAGGCAACATGAATTTCTTGTGCAAGAAAGCCCTATGGTTAAAATGGCCATCAGAGCTTTCTTGCACAAGAGAGCATCTACATTGGCATAGATGCTGTTGTGCAAAAGCACATCTCTTCCACAAAAGAGTTCTTGCGCAAGATCATGCCAGTGTAGACGTAGCCACTTAGTTTTGTGAGATCTTTTTGAAGTTCCTCACAGTCTGCTTTGGTCTTAACTATCTTGAGCAGTTTAGTATCGTCTGCAAACTTTGCCACCCCACTGTTTACCTCTTTCTCCAGATCATTTATGAATAAGTTGAATAGGATTGATCCTAGGACTGATCCTTGGGGAACACCACTAGTTACCCCTCTCCATTCTGAAAATTTACCATTTATTCCTAACCTTTGTTTCCTATCTTTTAACCAGTTCTCAATCCATGAAAGGATCTTCCCTCTTATCCCATGACAACTTAATTTACATAAGAGCCTTTGGTGAGGGACCCTGTCAAAGGCTTTCTGGAAATCTAAGTATACTATATATACTGGATCCCCCTTGTCCACATGTTTGTTGACCCCTTCAAAGAACTCTAATTAGTAAGACATGATTTCCCTTTATAGAAACCATGTTGACTTTTGCCCAACAAATTATGTTCTTTTATGTGTCTGACAATTTTATTCTTTACTATTGTTTCAACTAATTTGCCCGATACTGTCTAATTTAGTTGTAGCCACAAATCTTTTGACTACTGAAATTTCAACAGTGGGTGCTAGATTTTTTCATTCTGTGGCCAGTTTCTGACCTTCATATAAACATGAAAATATTTTTCCAGATATTAGGATTAGTGATTAACAAACTTTCTGTTGTACTAGTGACTGGTTTGTAAAGATTCATTAAATAATTAATTATTTTGGCATTACTGAAATAAGTTAAGCAAATTCTACTCTTCTATTTAGGTTATTCAGATGATAGTAAGACCCTGTATCATATGGGTTTCTTACAAGAAAGCTGTCTTACTTTTGATTTCTTTCACATTTTCCCCCTTCAGTTTAGTAGTGTTTGGGTGCACCCAGATTGCTAATCATGCAGAAGCTTCCCAGCTTCAGCTGATAGATCGCAAACAAAAATGGAATGTGCTATAACTAGACCAAATTTGACAGTTTCGGTGAGATCTTAGTACAGATTTTGAGAAATTAACATAGCCTGTGACTTCTCAGTCTTGCCATAGGGAGCTTTGTATTGTATTGTGTGCTTTTTTTTTTTTAATTGCTGCCATGCTTTGTATGCTTATATAAAATTTTACAAAGATACTATGTCAATTTGTATGTTGTGGTTCTATTCACAGCCAAAAATTAAAAGTATTGATGATACTGCCAAGTGGTATATTTAGGGCTTTTTAGGAATCTTGAACTAAAAATTGTTGGAGATTTTTAAAAATTACTTGTGAAGACTATATTAGCTAATGATCTCCAACACCCCCACCTCCTTTTCCTTTAAACATTTGCACCACCTATTAGTTTTAAATCTTCTAGGTGAATCCAAGCATGCTGTTTTTAAATGTAACAAGTTTTGGCAGCAAATCTTGGGTACTAGAGGTTTTGCTTAACCGTATCAGATGCTGATTATTTTAGGAAGCAGAAAGTAATATTTCCATTATGGATGCAGGAACAGAAAATAAAAATTACTAGTCAACAGACACTTGAACACTTGCTATGTTTCCGTTTCCCAGGGAATTTTCCCAAGTAATGTATAATATATATTTAAACTGTCATTTCTATTTTAAATAATAAACTTTATACAAAGATTAAAATACGTTTCATTGTTTTTCCCTATACAAGCAACTAACCTGCATGGATTCCAAGGATCCATCACTTGAACAGAATGACTCTCCAGCAGTCTTGCCCAACACAGTGCATGTTTCGGACAATTCATCTGTGTCATCAAATACACCAGTGCAGCTATCCCAGGCTCAACCTCTTTCCACGGAAGAATTCCATCTGGTGGACCAGAATGGCCAGCCTCTGTATGAAGTACAGTCAGTAGGGGGTTCTAGTACACAGATGGTGAGTACATATAAAACCACACAGATGCTGAGTGCACAGAAGAAGAAGAACAATGTTAAGACCAATTGTCCTGATGTGGTTTAAAGTTTCTATGTAATAATGTTTAAGACTATATCTCTGGGAACACGGTGATGCATTTCAGAGTGGTTTATTTTGTTCTCAGTTGCTTCTGCTCAGGTCTCCAAATCCTGAGCTAAAAGTCATTACTGACTTTAATTCAGAAAAATGTAATGTGCTTCTATCATATTCTCAAAGAAAGTAGAAGACTGCCTTAAAGTGAGAATAGTCTGCAATGATCCCATTCTTCTTTCTCCCCTTTATTGCTAACTCTTTCCTCCTCTTCTCGCTACTGCTCTCCTCTGAGCCACTTTTGCTGAGTGTGGAGAATTATGGAATTGGTGGTGAATCAGCCAATGATATCCCTTCCTTTCCTCCCCTGATTAATTTACATATAACAATGCCTTGCACGTCTTGCATTTTTTTAAGTAAAAATAAATAATTGATTGGTTCTTGCTGGCATATATTGTACATCTACAGAAAATTACAATTTAAAATATAATTCCCTCATCCAAATTGCATGTTTGGCCTAAAGAAAAAGGCCAAATGCCAACCAAACAACAAGTTAGAAGATGATTATTTATAAGTCAAGGCTTACTTTTTTTCACAAGCTAAAATATTACTTATTTCAGAGAATATTCACAATAAAGAAAATACTTTCATTTGCCAGGTTTCCATAAGAATGCCCACAAACTTTTCTAATTTCTGTACTTGCAAAATATGTTGTATTAGTATAAAACAGTTTTAAAAGACAGTAGATTTGAGAACATTGATATAGCCTGTACTTGTTGTTAAATGTGACTAGAACTTTAGGGAAACAGCAGTGATTCTCTGTGTCAGATAGTGAATATAGTTTTAAAAAAGATTATTTTCAAGAGAGTTGGTAGCAGTATTCAGGCTGTTTGAATTTGAGAACAAAATCGCAATTGTTTCTCTCTACTTTTTACATCACTGCTAAGTTTTTAGAAGGGCTTAAGCAGTTAGAAATGGATGACACATTTTTTAGAATGTTGAAGTGGACTTCTGTCAAACCCTCATATTTCTCATACAATAAAGTCAAATTACTCTGCTAATGTAAAATATTTTCAAAAGTAGTTGTTGTTCTGGTAGTAACCAAATCACGCTAATGCCACTGAAAACCAGTTAACCATATCATGCTACATAGTTATTATTGCAAAGTATTTTTTATTCTCATTTTATTAGATGATTGTTGCCAGTCAGTCAGAACATGGACAAGTGCTACATGTAATTCCTTCTACTCAGCCAGGAATGGCACAAGTGATTATTCCTCAAGGGCAACTTCTGGATGTCACCAGTACGCAAGGTCAGTTTTACCTTTGGGACTTGAGGGTTGTCCGTTCTTGTAGCCAAGCACATACTGAATGGTCCATTTTTATAAATTCTTTATTTCCCCTTCAATATTTACTGTAAATAAAATATTAAATATTTGCATTTACAGCACTGTTCATCTAAAGATCTCTGTGCACTTCACAGTTTTTTTTTAAGTTGGGACAGGATTCTTGGGAAATAAGTATTACATTTTATGCTCATTTGAGATGTAGTATGGGTAAATGGAGGTATTGAGAGTGAAATTCTGCCCTGATTTACATCCCATGCTATCTCATTAATTTCAGTGTGGATTCTCAGAGAATTTGCCAAGAGAGAATAAGTAATTTGCTCAGTTTTATGTTGTCTGTCAGTAGCAGAGCCAAAATAAAACCTGGGTTCTAATTATTAGTCCTTGATCTAACAGATATAGCAGTCAGATTAAATAGAGAACAGTCTTGCACCTAGCATTCTGTACCACATAAATTACATGTCTGAAAGTCCTGCTTTAAAAATATTCATACTTTCACAGTTACATTATATGTCACAAAACTTCTGTATTCCGTATAGCTAGGGGCTTCTGCTCCTTAACATCTGTGCTCCATGTTGAGACCTGCTCCAATAGTAAATGGGAAGCCCCCTTTAACTTCAGATGGATTTGAGTCAGACCCATAATTCTAAAAAAACGATGAAAAAATCAGTGAGAAAAGTAAAATCTCTGAAGGCAACCTCAGCATCATTCCCATAAGAATCAGTGCATGAAGTTGCTAACTGTGAATTAATAACTTTGGAGCGTAACGACTCTTTTTAATCAAGGTTTTGGAATGTTATTTCCTGTGTGTTCTGTTCTCTTGAACAGAGAGGTTGGACCTCCTTGGGAATCTGTCAGACCAGAGGAGGTCCCCTGCTACGAACTCCCCAGACCACCTTCCCTCCCCGCTGCAGGGCCTAGCCACTCCCTCCCCTATGGGTTGCCATGCTGCTGCGGGCCACAGCAGCCCAGACTGCACTGGCAACGACCCCGCTATTGGGGCTGCTGCATCTCCAGCCCGGCTGCTCCGGCTGCTGCATCCCTGGCCCAGCTGCTGTGGCTGTGCTGATGGGACTCCGGCACCAGTCCCAATCCCTGCCCCACTGGGCTCCGAGCCGCCAACCCTCTCGTCACTGGGGCTCCCAGCCAGGACTTCCTGGTCCAGGAACACCTGTGGTCCTGCTAGAACACAGATGTTGCCGGATGAGGGAGTCCCAATTTTGGGAGCAGATGTATGCTGCCAATGAGTCTGTCTTGATAGCTCTGTATAGGAAATGATCTACATTTTATCAGTTTTATGTAACTTTGTAATGAATAATACATAGCTTTTCATCAACAGATCTCAAAAGTGTTTCAGAAAAACCCAGAGAGGGAGGGAAGGCAGAGCTATTATCCCTATTTCGCCAAGGAGGAACACAGGACACTGTGAGGGCAAATGACTTTCCCAGTGTCTCATGGAAAGTCAGTGGTAGAGCAGGAAATTGAACACATCTCAAGTTACAGGCTAATGCATGAACCACACTAGTCCAACCTTCCTCTGTGATGCAAATACTCAAGAGAGCCTTCCCTCCTAACTTTAACACTGAACAACAACAAATTTTCTCAATTGTGCGTCAAATTGGTAGCAGTCTCTGTTCTGTATCTAGACTGGGAACAGTGCATTTCCATTACAGTACATAGCATTGATTTTGAGTTTTTAAAAAATAGTCCTACTTTTGAAAAGTGACTTTCTTGAAATTTGAGAATCCAGTGAAAATTTTCTGTGGCAGATCTTTTAAAAAAATTCACCAGCCTACCCCAACTATTTATTTTAAAAACAACAAAACCTTCAGAAGCTGGATTCCTTTCTGTTCTTAATAAAATCCTGCATATCTTGGAACTTGGTGGTATGCTTGCTTGCTTGTTTATATAATTTTGCAACACAATCTGCTGGAACAGAGAAAAACAATACATAATTACATTTTTGGGATTTTCAAACATAATATTTTTAATTTTAAAAAGATTTTTATTATGCAACCAAATTGAGACTTTTGAGATGGTAGATTTAAAATGCATAACATCTACTTTAATACTTTACTGGGAAAAAAGTATTAATGTTTGTGCTGAGTCAGACAAACTTGACTGCTTGGTCTGCCCGTTTGAGATTACTGTTATATTTTTTAAATTTATAAAAGAGAGATAAGTCTTTTCAAAGCAGTAAATAATGTCCAAATTGGTGCTTGTGCACTATGGGCCTGACCCAAAGACCATTGAAGACAATGGAAATTAAAAAAATAACATTCTGAAGCAATGTGCACTAAGTATTTAGGGTACTCATTACATTAAAATTAGTGTTTTGCCGTTGATTTCATGGGACCACGATTTTACCCGTGTTATGTCAAGAATACATTTTAAGCACATAGTAAGATGCAGTGAAGCACCCCATTGCATGTGTAAATAGGTGTGGTGATTTTCTTAAGAACAGTTTAGGCATCAAGTAGAATTTCTAATTTTTGATTGCTCACTTGTAAGTTTAGCTGAACTTTGGCTTTGTCCCAAAATTCAGACAAACTATACTGCTCAGAATTTCATAAAGAGATACTCCTTCTCTCAATGAATGATTATTGCACCACATAATATCTTCCAAGTTTTTCTCTTCTTCATTCTCAGACAAACACTGGTTTAATTACATTCACATTTTTCTTCACATTTTCCTTTAACTGCAGATAAATTAGAATTAGTGTCTCAATCTAGGAATATTTTCTATATGTATAAACTTTTGTTGCTAGATCAAACATATATGAAAGATTTATCCTGACTAGTTATTGAATAATCATTACACTTTTCTGTAAAGAAAAATGAACTCCAAATCAGTTTCTTGAAAAATAATCCCAGTATTGACAATGATTCTCTCTGTGGTCTTTTGCTGTTTCAATTTCCCCAGCTATATAACATGGGCAGTAATAAAAACTTACTACGATTTAATTTTTACATCCCTTGCGAAGTAAAATGTTATTTTGAAGCTGAAAAGAACTATATCGGTGATAAATAAGATCATGGGTATAGTTTCAGGGGCAGAGGGGCATTTTCCCCTCCAAACTGCAAGCTTCTCTCTGTGGTCTTTTGCTGTTTCAATTTCCCCAGCTATATAACATGGGCAGTAATAAAAACTTACTACGATTTAATTTTTACATCCCTTGCGAAGTAAAATGTTATTTTGAAGCTGAAAAGAACTATATCGGTGATAAATAAGATCATGGGTATAGTTTCAGGGGCAGAGGGGCATTTTCCCCTCCAAACTGCAAGCCTT